ATTGTATTTTATTGAAATTTTTCATAATATGACGAAATTATTATTATTATTATTATAATTTATTTACGCCAGAGAAAGAAATTTTTTTTTAATTCAAATAAGATAAGCATTAGCAGCAGAAGAGATAAAAATTTTAATATTTTATTGACATTATGTTCCGTAGGTACTGTCAAAATTTGAATCGTGTATGACATATGTGTTCAATTGTCAGATTTTCATTTAGTTGCGGACTGGAGGATTGAATTTCTTAAGCATTCATTTTTTTCTTGCACTTGTGCGATCAAAGCGAATTCTTTCATGCCTTCTAACTGTGATTTTCCCAAAGTAAGTTAAATAAAGCGGTAAACATGATTACGAGTAACATTGGAGTGGTACGGATTTCTGTATTAGGTACCTTTTTGTCAAAATCTCTTTTAAAGCCCATTCTTTTCCATTGCGTCATCTGGAACAAATAATTTACTGTATTTCCAATATTTTCGCGCATTGTTTAATAGTTTCCGTGACAAAAATGCAATATATTTCTTTAGTCTGTTTTGAATAATTAAAAAGAACAACAAAGAATTTCACTGCTACTGCTTAGACTAATAACTCGCTTAACGGAAGTAAAACAAATGGATCTCAAGCAAATGCAGCCACCGTAGATACACAAAAAACCTAACTGAAGAATAATAAAATAAATTTGAATTAATTGCTTCTCACAATTTAGATTTTACAACAGAAGGCAGGCATTGCGGCAAAGTGAATTCTCTTCGTGAATATGTTGCATAGTTAGCCGCACTCATGTAGTTAACTTATGCTGTCACATCTAAGAGACCAACCAAAGCGCAACTAATCCAGTAAAAAATACTTCGAATAAACGGCACTTTGCAATCTTAAAACACCGCCAGTTTAAGTCACTAAAACGAAATATAAGGATATGCGTGACAACAGCAAGAATGTTCTGGACGCATCCTTTCAATTCGCTTAAATAAAATCTTTACCGTAGTGAGAAGTTTCTTAAATACAAACACAAAAGTTTCAACATCTCTTTTTTCTCTCTACAACTAAAGATGATTCAATGATGGAATCGAGAAAAAGAAGAAGAAGAAGAAAAACTTCTTGTTTATAAATATATATTTTTTTAAAATAAAATGCAATTTCTTAATTCTTAAATATTTGTGACTGATCAGATATGAAGTCATTTATCGTTTTCTTCTTCTTCTAAAATCCAGTAAAATAACAACGGAACAGACAGAGTAGAAACGATTCAATAACATGCCCTTCAAATTTTTTTTGAGACAATTGGCACATTTTATTCCATCCCTCTCTTCCCTAGTCCTGCGCTACCGCATAGCCTACCAGACAAGAAGTAAGACTATGAAGTCGGCAAATCTGGATTCAATTCCAAATGCGATCGTTGAGACTTTAATAACAAGTGACGTATGGCTGCGACTCTAATGAATGCTGATTGTAAAAGACCAAGCTGAGGTCATATCCTATCTCTCCTCTTCACCTTTTTTCTACCTGATCACCGAAGCTTTCCTATAGACATCCCACTACTATATCACAAAAAACGTCTCTCTCTCTCTATCAAAGGTAAATCACGATCATTAGAGCATCTTCCGGAAAGAGAGAATATTTAATTTTTATAATAAAAGAGCAAAAGAAAGATTTGAAATTGATGTGAAAGGAAACAAAGAGGAAAAGACAGAGTTCATTCAATCAATGGTTAATCTATTCAATAGACGCAAGCTCGTAACTTTTTCAGATTTAGTTTATACACCGATCACTACAACGAAACCGGTAATGCCCCAGTAGTCCCAGTAGTTATGGATGAACGTTATAGAGGACAACTTTAAAAATAATGTACAATGTTCAAAGCATTTCTCAACTTTTTCTTTTACGGAGTTAACTCATTGTGTGCCATGAACGGCTCAAATATGAGCACATTATGGATTTATTTTTGTTTAAATTGCAAAAAGGCTTTTATAGCCTTTAATTAACGATTACAATAATCCATCAATTTCGAAAGTGAGACAGACAAGTCCATTTAGGTATCATAAAGACTTAATTTTTTCATAGCCGTTACTCTACACATTATTGGATAATAAACTTTCATTATCTGATATCACGAAAAACAAAATACGACGACGAATAAACGGCTTATATAATAAACGGGTCAAAGTAAACGGCTTATATAATAAATTCAAAGAAATTACTTTTAATTATGTGCTCACAAGAAAGCATACCGCTCTTAAGCATACAAAGATGCAAAGGTATATTAAGTTTGTGCGCATTTATGCAAAATCCATAAGGGCTTCAGATAGATTCATCTCTTATTGCAACAATGGAATCAGTACAAGTTTCTGAATTGATTTAAGCATATCTGTCCGTCCTATCGTCTTTCAATGTACAGACCGCAATTTTTAAGATATTTTAATGAAATTTGGTAAACTGGTTTGTTTTTGTCCCAAGAGCATGTGCTATTGAAAATAGTTCGGTTTGGACCGCTTTTATGGCACTTCCCTTATAACGCCTTCTTTTGAATATTTGTTACATGATTAACTGTATGGTGGTGTAGGATAGTTAATAGCATTATATAATTCCTGATTGTTTCATGAATGATATTGAAACTTAATATTGGACAATTGAACAATAAAAGTCAAACGTTTAGTGAGCTTTTTAACCGTTGATTAACAAGAAACGGCCATTCGCTATTTCAATATTCAATAAGCAGCAAATTTCTATTTATTTTCAGTTTTTGTTTTTATTTTTTAATACAAACCAAGCAATGAACTTTCAGGGATTTTTTCTTTAATTCGAAACAAGAAATCCTTAATTGTTTTCCTTTTCCCTTCTACTAACTACGAGGCAAAAGCAAATTATATCATAGAAAAGCTTACGCAGGCTACCAATGAAGAATGTTTCACTTTTATTGCATTTTTTTTTTTTTTTTTTCGAACCGTAATATTCCAAATTATATATAAAAGAACTTGCAAGTTGTTTCAAAACAGAAGCAAAGACTTGTAATTAGAAGAAGTTTTTTGAAGTTTACAGAACTAAACAAATCAGTAAAAGTTTAACAAAAAATTAACACAAAAGAAAAAATGAATGAATAAGAAGACCTTGATTGATCTACTCTCGGAAAAGTTTCCATTGTTCCTTTTTTCATACACATAACAAAATACTTTCCAATGCTTTACGCAATTTTGAACATGGAGTGTTGTTGCACACATAGGTTTTGAAGCAAAATCGATATCTATAACAAAAATTCAAGAAGGAGTTCGAGGATAGTTAACGACACTCAAGGCTCTGCAAAGTAAGCTTTTCCTAATCTTTACAATCTATTCAAAAATTCGAATTGAACTTTGGCTTCCGTCGATTAGTCCAGAGTTTACTAGACGATTTCTGACGATTTTATGATGTATCTTAAGACTTTTAAATTTTTCTAAAAATTTTGCTTGAAGCGGAAGAAGGAACTTTTGTTTTGCCCAAAAAAAAAAGAAGGAAATTGAGAACAGAATAATCTCAGATAAACACAGTTATTACTGCAATATTTTTCAATTCAAACCTTATTTGCTAAGACTTATACAACATTCTTCGGCCATAACGTAATTAATCAACAGTAGAGAGCCTCTAAAGCCTTTTCATAAAATTTATAAAAATAATTCATTTTGAAGGAGGGTCCACCATCCGAAGAAATGAAGCGTAAAGTTGTAGGACACAGGACTTTTGAGGCTATGGTCTATTAAAAAAGCCAAAGTCAAGCAACGGTTAAGAACACCGTAAGTGCCACATATAACCTTCAAGAATGAATGCATAAAATTGTTGTTATTTTAGTTAATTTCAGCATTCATTTTGCAAACTTTTATTTAAGGTTAGCTCACGTTACGCAAATATATCGTAGTTCGTCTAATGTCTCTAATGTGTTTAAGTATTCCCAACAATGTTTATTTAAGACGCGAAGCTCTAAGAAAAACGATTCGCTATAGAAGCGGCGATGTTGAAGATTGGAGCAATGATGCGTCACCGATTTTACGAAATTCGTTTTAAAAGTTTTTTTCTTTGTGTTTTTTTTTAGTCTCCCTTGCATTAATTGCAAATTCGGTATTTTTTTTTTGTCATCGAATTTTTTACTGCTTTCAGATTCAATTTGTCGCGGAGTAGATTAGTGGAGTAAATTAAATTTCATGATTTCATGCCCGGTAACTTTCATTTAAGTTCTACTTATGACTACTTAAGGCAGCAGCATACAAAGCTTTTCACCTTTATATCCTTCAACTACAGAGAAATCAATTCAACGCAAGAAAAAATTCCGCTTGAGTATGTCTTTTCCAATTTTTTTTTTTTTTTTTTTTAATAGAAAATGTAACCTTTGATTTAATAGGTTTGCGATCTAACGGCTACATCGGCCAAGTTCTGATGCGCTCTATTGCCCGCGGCAACTTATCCTAGGCTACTGTCTCGGACGGTACCGTATAGATCACAAACGGATAAGGGCAGTACTTTTATTTACATACTACGCCGACAATTTTCCTCTCTCTACAATTGTATCTGACTCTAGGTTTCTTAAACAATTGTCGAAGAATTTCATCTGCTCCCTGGGATGATCCTAAAACCAAATGCGACATACTGACCCTCCTGCCTTCGTCAGATGTTTGCTATTGGTTTAAGAAGTTTACTTTGGCGCCATCCATCCATCAACCTTAAGCTAGTGAAACCTCTTGGAATCTCAATCTTCATTGAAATGCAATCACTCGGGTTAAGAGAAGAACCCTACCGTATGAAGCAGACAATATATTTTGGATTTTATGACAATATTTCAATTAATATGCCAAAAAACATTTAAATGTTTTTTTTCTTTAAAGTACTGCGCCCCTCGAAAGTGCATAAAGTATATCTAATCGTAGTTTAGTATATAAACTGCATCACTCCCTTATTTAGTAAAGGCTAACGCGTAGGTGCGATTGATTACGTTCTTCGTCGATTAAGTGGAAATTTGCGTAAGAATGAAAACTTACCCGGCGGCAGCATGTTGTTGTAATTCCACAAATGCCGATTTACCCGGCAGATTACCAGCAACACCGCCACCACCACCACCGCCTCCGCCACCACCCCCCGCACCAGATGTGGTCGTGCTACCGCCGTCCATAAATTTAGGTGTGTGTGGGGCGTCAGGTGCATCCATGCCGGATTGAGGAGTACTGGGAGGCCCCTCGTAGGGGCTCCCTAAGTCAGTAAAATTAAGCGTGTTGGCGCCTATTGAGGCCACTTTATATAAAATATTGGCAACGGAGTCCGTCCCTGTGCAATATCTTATTCTCTCTATTGTATTTTTTTTTTTATTTTTTTTTTTTGAAAAATTAATTAACTGCTTAAATTAACGCACACAAGCACTTTATTCTTTGTAAAACAATTCGATTTTAATTTCGAGATTATTTTTAAATTTTGGAATTGTGTTGGTATATTTCTTATGAATTTTTAAAAAAATTACTTAACTATTCTTTTCTATATTAATTAAAATAATTCTATAAAGAAAACTTTTTTGCACGTGGTCTTCTAAATAAAAGTAAACACGACTTTTAATTATAGTTTTACAAAGTTGTTGTAATTATGATGTAGTTTTATTGTAGTCGCCGTTGTCTTTTTTTTTTTTTTTATATTGTTGTTGTTGTCGTTTTGTTTATATATTGGTGTAAAGACGACTTGTAATTAAATTTGGCGTTGCGTGGGTTTAGGAATAAATATTTGTAACTGAGATGAGCACAACGACACAATAACGATGACGTTGATGAGAATGACGACTCTTTCGGGTTAATATTAACTGGTAATCCAAATAATAATAATAATAATAATAATAATTAGTAGTAGTAGTAATTAATTTTTGCTATATAGAAACAAAATTTCACTTTTCTTTTTAAACACTTTTCACTCACTTCAACAAATATTGTTATAATTATATTATCTATTCACTTTATTCACTTTCTACTTGCACACGCGTTCGTTCATTTACAGAATTATGTCAAATATTTATAAAAACAAAATAAAGCAACAAATTATTTTCAGGGCATTTATGATGCGATGCAGTTCAATTATATTTAATTTTAGTAATAACACAAAGTTTTCTTCTTTTTCTTTTATTTTATTTTTTTATTTTTTTTTTCTTTTAAAATACTTTTTGTAATTTTCGGCTATTGTATGCAGCAGCACTCAGATTCCCTGCCATTCAACAGCCAATACCCTATAAACTAACCGCATATACATTATTAGCTCGCGCCTCTGATTGTTTTGTTCGCTTTCGTATACAATTTAATTGTTTTCATGTGCAGTATGTAGATAGACAGATAGATAGATAGATAGATAGCAGATATTATTCACGGCCGCATACAATTTTCACAATTCAAGAATAAAACGCGCGTCGCGGTGCATCAACGAGAGTAACAACGACGACGACAACATTACCGCTGTAAAAAACATCAACAACTAACCATTAAAAACCATAATCAACAATTTGCGACGGTGTATGATTATTTTTTCGTAAAAAGCACACACTTGAGCAACAATTGAGAGTAAAACGTTAGTTTACTGGTTAGTAAGTAGTAGTAGTAATACATACGTATATGCGCTTATGCATGTATGCAGCTTGCTGCTGCGCTAGTGCTTCGCTATGTTGTTTGCTGGGCTGTACGAAAATCTCTGCCCATGGAAATTTTCTCTACACACAGAGTTACATTTGTATATGTGAACAACAACAGCACAGAAAGTCCAATCGAGCTTAAAACCCGCAACAACAACAACAACAGCAATCATAATATAAAGTAAATTAGAAGCAAAAAAAAAAAAAAAAAAAAAACAACGCAAATAAAAAAACTTTTTCACAAAACACCAAAGAGAGCGACAAGAATTGTTTTGCATTTGTGGTCTTTGATTAGTCTTGTAGTAGCAACAACGAAATGCAACAACAACGATATCAAATAAAAAAGAAAAAAAAAAAAACTTGCACACAACACGTACGTCTGCGCGACCAACCACGAACAAAGTGCGTGAACGACTAGGTACGAGGTGATTATGTGATCATTTGCTGCTGTACGTTTGTTTGCACAGCACGGTACAGGCTAGTGTAGTCAAACAACCACAATAATGGTCGGATATGTATGTGAACAGAAAAAACAAAAAAAAATAAATAAATAAAAAAATAACAAAAAATAAAATAAATAAATAAAACAAAACAACATTAAGAAAATACACAACAAATCACATACATTCCAGTTGAATTTCAGAAATTTGTAGCATTGTCGCTTAGTGTAGCTGTAGTGCTAAAATGAATACATCTATTATGAATGCACATAAGAGGAAAAGAATAAGTTTATTAACTCTCTCGAAAAAAACCGGTTTTACCAGATAACTCATTCGTTAGTTTTACAAAAAAGCAAGAGTGAAAGAATAAAAACTCTGAACTGAATTTCGACTAACTAGTTGTCCATTTCTTTCTTTCTCCAGAGTAATTTTGTTTTTGTTCCATGCCCCTCTCCGATAAACACTTTTTTTTCGTATACGTTTTTGCTATTCGAACTATTGTGAAGAGTGAGAGAGTGTAATGCATTATGCTACTCTTGTCATGTTATTGCTTGAGTGTGTGTGTGTGTGTGTTGGGGGGGTTTAAGCACTTGCTGTATTTTCACGATAGCATAAGAGAGCGCTTACAAGAGAGATGAAAACAAACATATGAATGCTTGTTACGAGCTATTGTTCCCTCTCATTGTTTTCTCTCTCTCTCTCTTTTTCTCTGATAGTATTTTTAGATTTTATTAGTTTTTTGTATAAAACGGAAAAACTCCGCCTTTTTGTATCGGCAAACAGACGAAACACACCGCCAACAATAAAACCATTAACAGCCCGTGCATTTTTCATTATTCTACTTTGTTCTCGCAAAAAAAAAAAAAAACACGTTTTTTTTGTTGTTCATTTGTTGTGCCTTTATTTTTGTTTTTGTACTTTCTTCTCAAACACTTCATCACAAGTAAATTTATTTTAATGCGATATATTCTTTTCCTATATATTTTTTAAACTGTGTTTGTTAAGTTTATTCTTCTTCGTCTTCGTCTTTTTAGCTCATTTTGTACAAATGATTGCTGTTTTTGTTGTTGCAGCTATACAATTCCATATGCAGCAATTGTATGTATTAAGTCTAAGTGCAAATATTTTGACATATTGATCATAATGCGTCTTTGCTCTTCTTTTTATTGTTATTGTTGTCATTATTATTGAAATTATTTTCAACTGTGTGTTAGTTCGGTTTAAAGTATTAAAATAATTATTTTACAAAACAAGAAGAAAAAAAGAAAGAAAACGAGTTAAAAACGCAAGAAAAATACATCAATCCCTGACTTATATATACAATGCAAGCAAGCATTGTAACAGTTTTGCTTACACTGTTACATTAAATTATTGCATATCTACGTAGACGTACGTAAATTAACAGTGTGTTAAATTTTATTAATTAAAACTTTAGCTTTCCTTTTTTTTTTTAACGACAACATGTACATCTATCATCATATACACTTACATCGACTTAATTGAATTGTCTTAAATTTATTATGTGACAAAAATTGAATAAGTGTTTATGTGGGGGGACGGGGGGACGGGGGGACCGTGGCCCCAACCTGACAATTATTAAATGTATTCGTAACTTTATATAAATTGGTTAAATATTAATAAATGTTTTAATACTTTAAATAGCTATATTTTAAAAGCGTTGACATTACTTGCTATCATTATCATATAAATATTGTGTATGCCTGCGTGTGTGTGTTTGTATGCGCATATATTAATGACATAAATAATAGGCGCTAAATATATTTATTACGATATCAATTAACAAGTGTAAATATAATAATAATTTGTACAATGTGTGTTCAACACAAATTTTAGTTTGTTTTAACAATTCATTTAGTTGTAGACACTAATTTTCTAATTAATTAATGTATTATAATGAAATTCAAAATTAATCGCGATTAAGTCAATACAAAGAAAATTTGTAATAAATTATAATTAAATAAAAGCTTATACAAACATATTTTGCAATTTTAATGTAAAAACATTTTATAAATTAATCCTTATTATTATTATTATTTCATTTATTGCGCTTAGTAATAAATCTAAATTCAAAAATACTGCCTACGCGAACATGAGTTGCAAAAATCAGCTGTGAGATTTACGAAATTTTAATATTTTTTTTTTGTCTAACATGTATTACGCATATAACGATGAGTGGATGAAATGTTGATTTCTGCCATTGGCATTAATGATTTCTGGTATCATAAAATTATCGTTTTTTGAAAACCCATTTTGATTGATTCATTCAAATATTAACAATCATTAACAGTATATTGTACTCGACTCTAATTACGGATTGCAGATATCGAGTACTACCAAAATGACCTAAGAAATTTGTAATCAATAAACCTTTTCCTATTAAATTTTTATTAAAGACCTTAGGGTCTTTAGCACTTCAAGGTAGTGGGATGTTTTACAAAAATCCACGGATCCAATATTTTTGTTTACAACTGCAGTATCTTTTAAATGTTCTCTTATGAAGGGCACTAGTTAATATAACACCTCTTTAATCTATCGTTGAGATTATAAGCTTATTTTTAGCGAAATATTTGACATCTAAGCTGGAAATGGCATCTTCAGTGCTCATCTCTCCTTTTGTCGCCGAAATCTCTATAAAGAAAAAAAGTAATAAACTAATAAAATTTATGTCTACTGTAGGCTAGGTAGGAAGAATCTATGATGGATGGAATATATGAAAAAGAAACAACACTAATCTCATTCTTCTTTGAAGCGCACACTCGCAGGAAGGAGGGGGGACTCAAAAACGTTTCATTTACCCTTTTTTTTTTAATGCGAAATCAAGCAACCTATGGAAACGTCATTTACATAGATACTCGCTTGCCAATAGATTAAATTTGAAAAACTATAAGAGAGGAAAAAATCCTCCTATGCGGACAGATAGAATGCACAATTTTAATGAAATCTTAATTTAGAAAATATTTCCATTTTATAAAGTTCATAATGAATAAAAAAATAATAATTGAATAATAAAAAAAAAAAAAAATACAAAAAAAGAATTTTATTAAATCACTTTGTTCTCAAAATATATAAAAAAGTTTAAGAATTCAAAAGCTTTAAGTTTCTAGTTCTTTCAGACTCCATCTAACTTTAATAAATTTTAAGCGTAGTACTTGCTTTAAAGTGGAAGTATAATTCAAAGTATAGCATCAGTGTAAGGCGAGTCATGGTGGATTTTTTTTATATAATGATTTCCATTCAGACTTTTTTTCTTATATACTTATACTTAGACTTGGGTTAATTAGATGTAAGGCTTTTTTAAACAATAGTTGCTGGTTGTTCTTGTATTGATAGCATTGCTGAAATCATTTGTGATCAATAAAAATATTTTATGAAATTTCCGCTGCTCAAACGAAGAAAAATATTGAGAAAAT